TTTGGAAGTTTCACTCTGCAGAAAATAGTATGTAAGAAACCGGGGTTCGACAAAAGTGACTATACGTGATGGGATACAACTCAAAATGTACGCTTCCTTCGTTCCAGTAATTATTTGAAGAGTTCCCTAAATCTTACCTAATGTAGTGCGCCTCGATACCTACATTTCGCCTCCTTCATAATTCGCTCCACTAATGCCAGTTACATCAGAACTTCTGGCAGCACCGGTCTTCATTTAAAAAGAAAACGTTCTAAGGAACAACAACACAACAACTTCCTGAGACTTCTCGCCCAAACTAAAGCTCAAATCACTAGTAAGGATACAGGGTTAAAGACTTACAATACTCAATTGTCCAGTTCCTCCAGAAAAAATTAACAAAGCGAACCGAAAAGAACTCAACTTCTTCGCTCCAACTTTTCTTACTTGGAAGTTCAGTTTTTAAAACCTTTTTTACACTTACGTGAGTTAAGCGCAAGTTCATCAAACTAAAGAATTATTCTCATTAAACGGCCGCGCAGAATTCCTTCACAATAAATTAAAGAAAAGAAATGAATCCCTTACTTGATTACTCCTCCGTAAAACTAAAAGAACAAATTTTTGTCCTACGTAATGACACAACCACGATCTAGAAAGTTGGACATACAACCAGTAGAGGTAAGAAAATGTCACTTATACAGGACTGGCTGCCTTGCGCTTACAAACTCTTACTTCTTTATAACCTATGAGAATCTATTCTATAGAGTTCCCAATCTACCATATTGTCTCCAAATCAAAAACCAAAAACTGTACAATGAAAAACAAATATAACCAAAAAGTTACCAACAAAGTTCACAAAAAATACAAAAATATTAAATATATTGAGGCATTTGAGAACTTTGCTAAATACTACACTTACTAATTCAACATATCACAGATACTTTTAATGAATGCATCACAAGACTTCCTTAATACTACCCCAAAATAAAACAACTGCCTTGACTAATCAAAAGAGAAATAAAGACTTGAACAGTAAATAAATCAGCCGAGATGGGGCGAGCAAAAGCTAGGTACAAGCACTACTGTTCAGAAACTGTGCAACTAAAAAAATCTAGAGGTTTTACCAAATAGAAGTATTACAACTAAGATGAAATTATACTCGATTTACAGTAACAAGTTGAATAGTTTTTGTCAGTCCATCTCTGTAAATTTTCCCTTATCATTTATTTTGCTTAAAATAATAAACTACTTTCGCAAATCATCAATTATACCCTACTTATGCAATTACCCTCAAGAAGAAGAACCAGCACAAAGGTTTCAACAGCATACCATGATAAAACAATTTAATCTTCCCAATCGACCCAACCGTCATCATTTTTAGCCGTGTCTAAAACTTCTGCTTTGGGTGAAGCTTTTGCTTTGGGCGTCAAAGTTCCATCATCTTGCGATTCAGGTATTTCCTAAAACATTTTAAAAAAATAACTTTATTTCACGTCATAAACTTCATAAATTGAACGTTTAAGTGTATGCCAGTTTAGCCGCTAATTAATAACCATTCACAAAGAGCTTCACGAGACCTCCAATTATTAATAACTCGAAATATTTGTCAGCGTGCTCACAACTGAAGCATTCGTCAGCAGCCCTACCGTATATCACACTTTGTTTTTGCACGCTTAAAACTGTCCACCTATTAAACTTAAAAAAAAAGCAAAAATAAAGATTAAGTGTTAGAATTAAAAATAGATCAGCTTCGTCTCGCTCTAAAACAGCAAACAAAAAACTTAATAATCTACTACTTTTTGGTAAGCAAACAACATAAAATTTTATAAAAATCCAAATGAAAAGATGCAAACCTGAGTCTCAATTTCAGTACTAGAACACAGACTCCAAGTCTCGTCATTATTTGAATGATGATCAGGACTCCCATGCTCGCCAGAATTTTTTTCTGCTTCTACCACCTTTGCGTCTTTACCTGCCGGAGCAGAAAAACTTTCGTCCAATTCAACTTCCTTACAACGTTCAATTAAGCTTGTTTGATGAACCTTGTAGAAATATCGCTCCCAAAAATCTGCGTTTGAGACTTTTGACGGAACCTACAAAAAATTTTGGAATTAATAAAAAGAATTTTAAAAAGAAAAAATTGCCAACCTACTTACCATAAAGAAATTTGTAAACTTTGCTCACCAATTCCTGATAAAGTTCTCGCATTAGTGGACAATTACTTAATAGATTATTTATCTCTCGGTCATACACATCAATATCGAAAACTTCTAACCACATTAAAAATAGCTGTTCATCACCTTCAGGAGGATTCAAATAAGTATGCCTACTTGTTTGAATGCTATACAGTAGATCCTTAAACCAAATTTTCACTTCTTCTGCGAAGAAATTAAATAACAAAAAGACGTTCGCAGATACAGTAATCTGCACGAGAAAATACCCATCAATAAAGATCAAATGAAAATATGAATAACTGCCTTACTTTCTACACGTGAATTTCTAAATAATACAATTAAGAGCATTATTTACATTGGGTAAAGTGCACTTTTCTTTTCCCTGAGAGGTTTTTGGCAAAATGACTTCAGTGTTCTCTTCCTCTTCCTTCGTAGTATCTTCTTGAGCGATACTCTTCACTGTTTTCACCAACGTCTTCATCCAAGAACTGTTAGCAAGATCTGATACTTGCGGCAATTTCCAACCATTGTTAACGCCTTGTCCATCCTCTTCCAATGGCGCTTCAGTTGCTTCTTCAGGTTCCTTTAACAAAAAAAAAAATATATTTATAAGCCTTAAATACAACAAGGAGGATTCCAGAAAAATAAGTGAAGAAATTTAACAGATGTTTCAAATCACCTTAGGTGAATTGCTCTCTTCATCAGCAAAAACAGGATTGACCATGTGTTGTATATTTTGTGCCTGCTGTTTCACGCTTTCGACAGTATTTGCAGCTATGGCAGTAGCTTCTGATGCAAAAGCATCACCAAATTCGCTAAGATCTTTTCTAACCAGTTCCAATGTGTTAAAAGTCTACAATTCCATTACGTAAAAAACAATTCAGGGACAGAAATTTCAATGTGGAAATATTCAGTTGCTTAAGATTTACTTTTGAATTATTAAGTTTTCATTTGTGCATAAAAGCAATTAAATTTTATAGATGTCTCAATGGCGTAAGAATTTATAGCTTCTAACTGGAAGAACACACTCATATTCCTAAAGATTTGTAAGTAACGGCGCAGAAGGAAGCACTGCAGTTGAAAATTACTGCGATTGTAGTAACAAATATATAGACGTTTTAAAGTAACTTATAACAAAATGAAATTGCAAGAAAAAAACAAAAAAAAAAAGACTTTTTCTCTTGCCGACTTTAACCATTCAGTACTCCAGGACGAACCAAAAGAAAACCAGTCATTTTTTGATGACGCATCTTCTTCAGCCTTCTCATTCTTGTCACTCACAGCTTCCTCTTCTGAAGTTTTCATCACTAATCTAAAAATAACCGTGGCCTAACGCTGGTAACATATAAAGACAAATTGTGGAACAAACAGAACAGAGATTCGTCAAAAGTAACAAGACGCTGCTAACCAGAAATGTAAAATTTTTGAGCAGCACAGGAATAATCGACTATACCAAATGCGGAAACCGTTGAAGAATGTCGGCCGGAGCGATCGTCTAAACACTGAAACCGATCTATATCGCCAAATACAAAATCACTGTAGCAAAAACACGGTTAAAAGCTATTTCCGATCTTATCGAGTCATTAAACGAAACAGAATAAAAAAAAAAACAACAATAACAAAAAAAAAGAAATTCAAAAACGAAAACAAAAAAAGAAAAGCAGATAAAATTGAAACCAACAAAAAAAAAAAATGAAAATAAAATAACGAAACTAGACTGCCAATAAACAAACAACTATCATAAATCCATTGCCAACTATTCAGATTGTACCTAAATAAATTAAAACAACAGCTAAATACTTTCCACTGTATAACTTTTTCTTTTTTGTAGTTTGTAGAACAACAACCTTCCTGCCTTTTCCCGTGTTTAAAACAACGGAAATTTATAAAGACAATTTTACCAATAAGAAACCAAAAAATTTCACAAGTTTAATGAATTATATATGCTTAACTACAAAAACAGCCTTGAGAAAACCACTTCTTGCTATCCGACTCCCACCCCTGTTAATATGCAAATTTTTTTTTCACTAAAACATCGTCAACATCTGCACAACTGAACTTCATCGCTTGTAAAACCCCACTTTCCAAATCAGCCAATAAAACAACGCTGACTACAAAATAATCTATTTTAAAAAACCCAGTTTTATGTTGTAACTGTTAGGATAAATAAATACAGATAACTGAAAGTAAGTCAGTTGTTATGTTCATTTAAACGAGTTACAGGCCATCATCAAATTATACAACAATAAAAGCTAAAAAAAAGAATTGAAGTAGAATCCTCCTCTGCATCAAGCCCGGCGGAAAACTAAAAGCAGGGAAAAAAAGCAGTTATTTATTACAATAACAACCCCCCCCAAAAAAAAAAAAA